ATTGAATCATTTATTTTTTCTTATTGCTATGTTTAAGTTTTCTTATTTACTTATTGTAGCGGTAAAGATGGTCGCAATGTGGTAGAATGGCATATATGACATTTATGGATTATAAAAAATCTATTAAATTTACTATATTACGTGACCGAAATTTTTATTTCTTTACTTGAATAATACTGGATGTACTTAAATAATACGTGATATACTTGAATAATTATTATTCAGATAGAGAATTGTACACAACATGTAAACGCTATCATTTAGTTGAACTTATCTTTACAAAACAAAATAAATAATTATTAAATAAAAGAAAAGTAACCACAATATTCTACTCAATATTAAATTTATTCTGACATATATTCTTTCGTCCAAATACGAGCTTGAATTTAATATGTGTAGATCGTCCATCAATGGGAATTTTTAATTTTCTTAGGAGAAAGTCATGAGATTTGCCTTTTGTTAATGTTAAAATAATTAATTCTAACTATAATCGAGTACAGGAATCTTGATATTCTTATATTTCGTTAACTATTACGAAGCATTGCAGAAGATCCAATATTTTGCTTTAAGAATACCAAAGACAAAATAATAACACCCCAAATAAGATGATCGCGCCTGAAACCAAGATACTATATTTGGTATAAATGTTAATGGAGCTATGTCGTAAAAATGTTCAACAAGAGAAAAAAATTATTTAATATTTAATTGAGAAGCGTTAGTAGAACACTTTGTATGTAATGCCAGTATGAAGTTTACAATGTATTAGAAACGAGGCATTGCTAAAAAGATGAAATTCGCTTTCTGATGTCATCAAGTTAGGCTGTTAGAAAGGCGTTTTGTACATCCTAGACTAAGATATGAGTTAAAGAAATCGTTCTTTCGTGTGGATAAAATACGTCAGTCATTCGCAATGAAGACCTAATGTGTTTCAAGAGAGATTGCTGGTGCGCATTTGGAAGAAACCACTACTTCAGATTGCCATGTCATTTGATGTACCAAGGGGCATAGTTACTGAGGTTATCACAGATTACATAAATAATGGCAAGAGTTTATCAACAAGTAGGTCGTAAATACCTCAGATATATACTTCAAAACTGAAGGAAATTATCCGACGTCGCACCACTGCGGCCCCACCGATCGCTGTCTACATCTGGACGAACAAACCTTCGCAGTAATAATCAGAAAAAAGCTTTAAAAGTACTTAAATGTCTGAAGGCTAAATGATGGTGAAACAATTAAAATATTAATTAACGATTATTATATCACGTAATTAGAAAATTCAGGACTTCCGACACTAGCTAGAGAGCTAGGTTGAATTCAGCCGCTGTGTGAAGGAGAATTGTAAGGGCCGGCTGCGCTGATCGGTAGTTGTCCTTGGTTTCTCCTATCAACACCAGGCAAATGTCGAAGCAGAATTCTAACAAACAGGCCACGGGCTACGCGCGATTTTTCCTTCCTCTTCCTTATCCTATCCTTGCCCCTTACACACACACACACATACGTACATGCACACACCTGTCGGAAGACTAGCCGGGAGCTTAAAGCTCGTCCCAACTGGGGAACTACCTTACTGAAAAACTAATCACGAGATTCCTGCAAAATTTGAATTTTTCTGGGTCCCTGAAATATATCAAGTGAATAAATATATTTTCCTTCGTGTAATATATTAGTTCCTATATGTTTTAGTTGTCAGAACCCACGTTTTGTGGATACTTATTTCCGAAATATTGACTGACGGCAAAACGTCTGTCAGTGGTCCACGCTAGCGCCTAAACCGCTTAGACAACTCTATTCGTAATTGATATTCCTCGATCGACCTGGCCGAATTAAATGTTTGCAAGTTTGAAAAGCATACTTTGATTTTTTTTTCATGACGTCTAAACGTTTTCAAAATTTTCTCGAAGACTGCTAAAATATTTTTGATTATTTTCTCCCTCGGATAGAGAAAGAAAAGGACACAAGCAAAGAGCGCAAACGTGCAGGTGTTGTTTTCATTAAAATATCAGCGTTTTTAAAAATGGCAAAAGTTAAAAATTTGTCAGTATCTTCCTACAAGTACAATATAGAAGATAAAGATGTGTTTTCTTTCTGAAATCTGTTCTCCAGAGAAAGATTTTTAAATAAAGTTATGTAGGTACCAATTTTGTTTTGGTTTTATTTTTGATTTTGGCGTAATTTTGACGTGAAATGCAGGTAATCTACAAAAAAGATTTTTCTCAACAACAGTTTCAAATTTTTCCTCGCATACGAAAAAGGGCGATTAAAATGGTGCAGATCTCATTTTCATTGAACTCTCTAAATTTTTAAAAATTGTAAAAGTTAAAAAGAATACGAGAAAGTAAGTGCTGTTATGGCTGTTAGCACTTTTATGATGCTATGTCAAGTCATCCTTCCGAAAAACAGAGTGTTTTAAACTGAGTTCGGTCGAGGTGAAGTTTTTGCAGCTTGTATGGTTGATGCGCAAGGAAAGTGACACATCTAAAAATCACTTGTTAAGTGACGAAATTTGTTTAGAAAATACTTTATTTTACTAGAAAATATTTTATAAAGATAGTTCCCAAGAGCGCCAGAATATAGAGTAACTGCAAATACTTTGTATTTGCCAACGAAATAAAAAAAACTCTACACAGGTAAAAACTGTTCGTATATAAAATTAAAATTTTGAGATTTGAAACTTTTCTCGTGAATTCTCGGCTATCCGGGAGACGCCGCGTCGTTGGCTTTTCTCGTACAGCGACGAAATCAAGGTTGAATTGTGGAACTAGTCACAACTCGCTCGATAAGGATATGCCTTTTCATGGCGATAGCCAATAAACATCTTCCTGAAAGACATTGAGTACAGACGGCGATGAGATTCTGGGGGAAAATTGATTCCACAACGGGTGTATGTTTGAAGGCGCAAAACCCTACATCAATCTTTGAAAATGCAAACAAAAACGTGAAACGCTTGAGAAACTCGCTGATTCGGCATGTGAAACTAAACAACGTACATTGAATTCTTGACTCGAATATGCTAACTACCTCACAATACTTTGATTCAAAGAGAAGGCAACGACGTGTGATAAGCCAGGCCACGTTTATCGAATCGAGATATTCCGTAACTTAGTTTTTGAAATTGAAGCTTCCGTTCAGATAACCGCGTCTCTGCTGATCAAACCTCAATTCCATTTGTACTTTAATCGGAGAATACGAGTTAAACGCAAACCAGTGCAGGATACACTAGTGAAAAATGATTGCAGTACCTTGGGAGGCAGCACAAACCACACATCCGCCCACTCAGGAAGCAGAAGCAGTCGGCGCGCCGTGAGCCTGTCTTCGTCGCCCTCCTCGCCCTCGAGTACGTCATCGCAGTCGATGTTGCAGCCGTGCCCTAGCAGCAGCACAACCAGCGACTCCTTCTTTCCCTTGGCGGCCACGAAGACGGGCGTCTGCCCCGACTGGTTGCGGTGGTTCACGTCCAGAGGGAGCCGCTGGTCCCTACACAGCCCCAACACCTCCCCCACACAGATATTCACGCGCTCGTCGGTCGCCGGCTGGCGGCAGAGCACGTGCAGCACGTTGTCCCCGTGCAGGGTGAGAGCGTTGGGGTCGGAGCGTAGCAGGAGCAGGCGTATGGCCGCTAGGTTGAGGCTCTCGGCGGCCATATGCAGCGCCCTGCACCTCTTTCTCGTGTTCAACTCTTCGGCTCTCGCGCCACTGTCCAGTAACTTCTGCACCATCTGCCCTCCGCTGTCCACGCAACACGCGTACTCTAGCAGCGTCATGTTCTGGTTGGAAGGGTACCTCTGATTGAAGTCATTTATAGAACCCAGCGCTGCAACGAAGCCTGCGTAGTTGCCGTCCGCCATCAGCTTCAAGATGTGGCTAGAATCAGCTTCTGGCATTTTGGATTCTCTTAACGTCAATTACAACTTGAAATGTGTTAACTATTCGATGCTTCAGTGTGCAACAGAGTCTGTGCATTGAATGTAACTCTATAGACTCTCAGCTCTTCTTAGTTACAGAATCGCGTAGCTTATCACTTGAAGTAACGTGACGCATGGATGCCCATCCCGTGTGGGATCATCGCCTGCGCAAAGTGCGAATTGCACTTTTTTTTATATATTCGCGAACCTACATCTGCGAGATATTCTAGGAATTCGGGGGACAGGCGCATTGAACAAACATACAGCAATTTTTCGACAAGGATCTTTTGCGGCTATTAAAATTGTGATCAGCAAGTACTGTAAATATGCGATTGCTTTGCAGTGATTTGAAGTTTCATTAGGATATTTATTGATGGGGAGGTTACATGGGTTAGATTATATTGTTTTACTTACATCTACTTGGCCAGTATTATTTCATCATATCATAGTAAATATTGTGCAACGTGTTTATATAAGTCTCGTTCTAAGATTTGAAGTCCGGGATCTCGGTGGTGTCACGAACAACAAATAAAAACGTGTGTTCGCACACTTCTGAAATAGTTAAAGTAGAAACCTAAGATGTTCGTAGAGTATATCAAAAGAATTGAGTACTAACTTGCATGTTAATTGTAATTTATAAAACATGAGATTAATTTAAAAAAATTATATTTAACAAAATGGATTCATTACTAAACGCTACTTTCCTTTGTGACCTCAGCAGCACTTGACAGCATCTGAGTTTAGCGCATGTGCTAAACAGGCCTGCCCTAGATTTTGCCATCAGCGGCATTAAGGAGGTCGTTTGCCGCACTCTTTACACTGGAGGCCAGAGAACTGTTCCAGGGTTATTTCTTTTATAGAAAGACACACGCTTACCCGCGTACAGAGGCCTCTTCTCTATCGCTTGTCTATCAGGCACTTCCTTCCTGAGTTCAGAATAGCCCAACAAGCTGGATGCATGGCATTTTGGACCGCAAAATTCCGGAATCCTTGCAGGATTCACTTCCTCTCCTTACTCCTCTTCCCATCCCCTCCCCCCTTCACCGATGCGCGAGGCCTGACACGCCGCACTGTTATCGCAACGCTGGCAGTTCCGTTGCGATTCGAGGAGTGTTTGTTTATTGTTCAAGAGAACGCGCTAAAAGAGATGAAAATTCTACAACCATAATCGGCAGAAGAAGGAGAAGACTTGGTTCTAGAAACATTAATCTGCATCTTCAAAGGCTGCGTTAAAAAATTGCCTGTATGTTCGGTTCTATGTACATGTGAGTACAATTATTTTTAGCAAACAAACTAAAACACCCAGTCGTTCATCCATTTTAAACATTCACTTAAAAACGGCAAGAGAATGACATGGCACAAACATGATAATTTAAACATTGAAAGAATTATTGAACTGCAAATTTGAAAAAAATATTTCGACAATGATTAAGTAATGTTTCAATAAATGTATTTTGAGTTAATTAGAGCTCTTTAAAATTAAATAGTTGTTGTTGCACATCAAATCCGAAGTTGTCATTTAAAAAAGTATGTTTTATTTTGTCTGTTTTTAAAACAAACCAGAATGTCTTTTTGACTCAAGTCTGAGACAACTGTTTGAAACAAGCGCGTTACGTACGACGAACAGTCTCTTCATCTTTCTCTACGATCGTAGTCTCCCCAGATTGTGCGTGTCCGGTGGTTGCCATAGCTACAATAGCAGAATAAAGAATGAACTAACAATAGCACATTGTTTCTCAATTATTTGCAGCGGTAACATAATATTACGATATTGCAACTCGTTCTGCTCTTCAGCCACCTTCCCCTCTCTTCACCAATTAAAGCATGAAAGATTCGAAGAAAATGCTTATTTATTTTTGAAAATTCAAAATTTTTAATAGAAACGAAATTTTGAATTTTATGTATTGAATTTTATTTATATAGCTGTATGCTTTCGAAAAGTAAACCCCAAAAAGAGTGCCAGTTCTGATATTTCAACCACTCTACTTTCTTCTAAGTTCTCTCGTTAATTACAAGAAGAAATGGAAGAAATAAGAAATACAAAGAAGAAACAAGAAATTTACACTCAAAATCTTAAGATTTCGATAAACTTAAAAAAGGAAATTAGACAAGATATTTAGTACATTGCTATCTAAAAAAATTGGAAAAAATAGAAATGTTTTGAAAAGGAGTGTACTTAAAACGATATACAAATAAAATTTTCGGGAAAAAATTGATTAAGAGAGAAATATATAGTTTGAATATGGAAAGTGTAGGACAAGTTCAAAAAAATGAAACTAAGATTTTTATGATATTTATAAGCGTACTTGGATATATTCAAGCAATTTAATTATCTATTGCTATTTTCGTTAATATTTTGAAAGTATCCTAGAAACTGTTATGAAGCTAGTGTCGAAAATCCACTTGCACCGGGACTTGAATCCCGATGAACGATGCAGCTGCATAGACAACGGTGTTGCCTATGAGCTATACGTACTACACTACACAAATCATGGTTTCGTTTTAATGTATTTTGGTAGAATATATACCAAAATGTTTCAAGAAAGCACGTCTTACCGAGAAAATATAGCGAAAATGTTCAAACTCTAAGAGACACTTCTTTTTCATATATCTAGTACATTTCGTACACCTAGTTTCAAGTGAGGGGTATTCATACAGTGTAAATGCAGGGACTGGAGATCTCTTTTATGAAATTAGTAAAAAGAAAAAGTCAAAAATGAATATTATAAATAATTACAAAAGTAATACATTTTTGTGACGTATTTGTTGAATGACCCTCAATATTTTCTAGTGTTCCACAATCTTATCTATTACGCAGGTATATAAAATCCAAAACCTGCAAGTGTTCAGTGTTCGTTTATGTTATCTACGAGAACAAACTAACAATATTGACAAAGCTGCTAGCTAACTAAACTGTAAATTAACAAATCTACTAACAAAGTGCACAGACTGCACTCCTCCTCATTCTCCATAGCTAAACCATATGAAGGATTTTTTCCAAATTGAATAAACCCCTGCCCATCTGGCTCAAGTCGAAGCTTTGAAATTTTGAAAAACATTCTTTAAAATTGAGGAGTACTTTAAATTAAGTCCCACGGACATTTTCAAAATTTCTCAAAAACGGCTCCAATTTTTGTCTTCAAACTTTTCGCACTATAGTGTTATGAGTTAAATTTCAATTCGGGGTATTTTTTCAAAAATTACACAAGTGTAATTTTCTTTAAGTTTTCTCACGCCGGTAATATGCATATTTCCAGCAATTTGTAAACACTATTGCAGTTGTGAGATAAATTGTAGTTTGCGTTTTTCCAAAACTCAAAAATTCTCAAAACAGTATTGTTAAATAAAAGCTTCAATTTTCGAATTTGCAGTAGCGCTTAAACGCCATTTTCTGAAAAACAGGTACAGTGTTTTCAAAGAAAATTGCCATTTACGACAAGATTTTACTGTAGAATTAATAAAATTTCACAAAAATGTTCTTTGGCAGCTGGCAAGAGTATGTGAGAAGTTCGAATAGTTTGCCGAAACCGAAGAAAACTAATAAGGGAAAGTCTTTGCCATTCTGTAGCACCACTAGTTTACGTAAATAAATAACGGTTTTTTAAATTCAAATAAAATATATTATTGATTCGGGTTCATCGTGACAAAATCATTCGAGGTCCTCTAATTTGTCAAAATTCTTAAATAAAGGAATTTCAGTTCATAGTAATATCACAGAATAGAAAGTAGTAATATCTTCTCCTTTACAAATCTAATTTGAACGTTTCATTGTTTGAAAGAAACTTGTTGTTTTTAAATCTTCGTTGCTAAGGATGAATTTCGTGTTTTTCGGCCCAAAGTTAAATTAATTTGTAAAACATTACTTTGCCTGAAATTACGTTTAATAAAACTGCTGAAATATTTTTTATTGACCGATTTGTTCAAGTCCGGCATTATCATGAGAAAAGGACAGAAGGCACCCAAAAGACCAAAGTTTCCAACTCGTTTGGAAGAAAGCATGTTGAAGCGAAAAAACCAAGAATTTGTCTGTTCATGTTATGGACTCGGGACCGGCGTGGATAACGCCTCAATTCCAGAAAGTATGGAGGTAAGCAAATTATTACACTTAAACGTGAATATTTCGATATGTTTCTGTGACATTCTCTACGTGACGAGTAGTTACAATCATTAACTATTTCCATGATTCCTTATTAATTGTTAAACGCGCAACCTTAAAAACAATCGCCATCTGTAATATCAATTAGTATTGCAGAATTGCTTACCTCAAAATGCAACAACTTTCTTAAGTTGGCAAGATTGTCAGGGTTTTTTTAGATAACGTATTCGTTAAATATGACCAGGGCAGTCCAGAGTAACAGGCATTACCCCTAATATGGTTATATGATGCACTTGTGGCGTGAACATTCGGGACCGGTTGTCAGTCGCCGGGCAGTTGCGGAATTTAACATTTGCTGGTGTTTTATCGGAGACGAAAGTCAAAGTTGTATGCTTTGTGTTTTGATGTTTCTTAAAATGTATGTTAAAAAATGTTATCGTTATCAGTTTATGCACCATTTATGCAATTGTGCTTAACCTTACTTTTCAGTTTTGAACTTGCATTGTGCCAGGTTGCCAAAGCAATTATTACGGTGGTTACAAAGTTAATAAGTGTGTTTTTCTAAAAGACACCGAAGAAAAAAGTGTGGGAGTCTGTGATTTATTGGTGTGACTATATTTCTACAAAATTTCGCTGTGTGCATAAACATTTCTCAAATGCAATGACTGTAGACTGTGTGAAACGAGATGCATCTCGGCTAGTTGAGCTCAGGAAGCGATCTCATTGACTGATGATGCATACCCAATATTTGTTCTACTATCAGCCATCCCATCACACAAACGTACTTCCGTCTGAATGAAAACCTGTTGATCGAAGGGCTTACATTTAATATCGAGAAAAACTAAAGTTCAGTAAATGATGAGAAAACGTCACCAATCCTATTTTTGTTTTTTTATTGAACATTTCAACAATGAAGATTTAGGAAAATATTCTCATTGTGTAGAAAAGAAACTCAGTAAGAAAGTGAACCCAGCTCAAATGTGTACAACTATTTCATGTACCTTTCAACACAGATTTTATACTTTAAATAACATTGTTATACTCATAAAAAGTTTAAATATGTCTGAAATATTCAAAATGAAGCTTGTTGGATTATTTGATATCATATTTACATTCATTTTCAGATGAAAATCGAGATACAACAGAAACTAAAATGATTAAATCCGATACAAAAGTTTTAAGTTTCAAGTAAAATATTTTCTGCTGTACAACTGTTTCTATACAATTAGTGACTATAACGAGCATCCAAAGGGAAAGTAATATTAGTTTTATCAATGGCATGTAATGTATTATTTACTATTTGGATTGTATAATCCTAAAGAACCTGTAACAAGTATTGTACTTCAGCTTCTGGGTCAATGACCCCCATCTCGATTAGGTTTTCGTCCAGTTTCCCTAATCCTTGAGCTAATGCTGAGATGACCATTGTTTTGCTTTTAGACATAGATGTAACTTCACATTAACTTCTCCCCACAGCGTGTCACACACAGTTTTTAACTGTTTTTGATGTAAATATGTATACTAGCCTTCATAGAATCACACAAATTTCTCAGGAAGTCATTAACTTATTTTCGGTGTGCTGTCGTTATCAGGGCTGTCGTTCAGGCCCGCAATGCAGACGAGCCCAGATAAAAGAGGACCTATTTTTACGCTGAATATTTTACGAAAGTAAGAAATATTAATTACTTAATACGTTCTCTGATACTTTACGATAGTTCATATAATAAAGCTGTTTCTGAATCAATATAATCTGTTTGTAACATTGATTTTTATTTTAGTAATAGTCATAGTCTGATGAATATGAATTTGTTAAATTATATTTTTATTATATGATTATTATATAAAGTAATAACACTACATGTATCTGCTACTTTTATAAAGGAGGCCCGGATAAAAGTTTTGCGACCGGCCCGCACTCATTTCGTTACGCTACTGGCCGTTACCAGACACTAAATTAACAAATTATAGTTTTTACAGAGGCAACTTGATCTCATCTCAAAGCCAAAACACGAATATTATTATTTTATTTGTCGCAGTGTTTTCAAAATTTCTAGGATATTAAAATGCTTTAGAGATCTACAGATTTCAACCCTGAGAATTGCATTGTATCTCAATCAAATAACATGTGATATGAGAGCGTAGGCTTCCGCGGCCGGAGTCAGTATCGCATTACGCCCTGACGAAGGTCGCAGAATGGCGACCGAAACGTCGGCACCTTCGCCATGGACGCGGCGTCACCCGGACAGCCTAGTAAAAACATGTGATATCAAATAAGTCGTAAGAAAACTTCTGTTTTGCAACGTTTATGTTAAGAGATATGTTAAAATATGCGTTTATGTTAAAATATTAAGAGATTCCGATCCGAATTATGTCAAGATTCGAGGTTCATTGTCTCCAGGCATACACCGCCTTGATAATTGCAAGGTTGCCATCTGCCCTCCTTTTTGGTAGACATGTTCTCTTTTTTAACATTATCCCCCTGTCCTATCCCCTTTTTTAAAATTTACATGGAATGTCCTCCTTTTTGTCCTTTTGAATTGAAAATAATAATGGCATAATTTCAAAGTAATTTAATTCATGAAAGGGACTTCATGTCTTGAATATCTACATGTTTACTCAAATAAACGGTCTGTATATCAGATCATTAGGCTTATTGTGATATAAAACTGATTTACTCTTATTGTTTGATGGATAATGAAGGTGAATGAGGGGGCGAAGTTATCCAAGCTTTCATTTTTAATGACGCAAAAAATGTGTTTTTTAAAGACTATTAATGGTTTGGAATGGTTGAGTACATAGTCTACACATCGTGTATGTATTAAAAATGTAAAATGTCATTTTCATTGAAATGTTCTCCTTTTTTAAGGTAAAATGTCCTCCATTGAGTAAAAACATTTCTGGTAACCCTGATAAATGCAACAATGAGAATAACTCAAAATAACCACATAATTCAAAATAACCACATCTGTGATTGGAAGTGTCCCATGTGATTAGTATAGTCTTAGTGAAGTACATTTTGCTTGGTTTTCCTATATTTTCTTCGGTGTTCTCGCCACACATTTAACTTTCTCGTTCTTCTTGCTTTACATTTCGTTACTGTTTAAAATAAATCTGAAGACTACTCTTATCCAATTTTTCATTTTTGATAACGTTACGAATGTGGACAATTAGTTTTGATAGTTTAATAAATTTCCTTCATAACTATGCATAAATAAGTGTAAGAGGAACAATGTGAATATGTTCCTAGTAAAATACTAGTGTTATCAATGCGAATTGATTGTATTTAAGCAAATTGTTTTGAAGAGGAAAACTGATAAAACACTGAACGGTCCCGAATGGATGTTCTTGCATGGTTTTCTGCTTGTTTCGTTTCGAAATGCAGGCAAATAAATGCCGTGCCGTATTCCCACGGGTGCGCATGTCCGCAGGAAGAAGGGATGACGCACGCGCCGATAGCGGGCGGGCCGATGGAAGTCGGCACGTCCGGGACGATGGTCGGCTCGAACGTCGCGGAAGCGCCGTCGGACAAGGACAAGACGATCTCGCATACGTCAGGCATGACGGCGAAACGCTGCCTGCGCATGCACGTCATGTACAAGACGCCCGCGCAAGTGCTGCGCGAAATGGACCAAGAGCGAGACCGCATGACGCTCATGGCCGAGCTGACGGACATGATCGAGAAAAAGACGGCGAAGCTGAAAGGTACTGGGTTCGACGCAAAAGACATTTCCACGTTTGTCTTTCGCAGAACAGGACAGGACAGGGTCTAGTGTGTATTTTGTTTGTTCCGCCTGTCTCTAATGAGACTTCGTCCATGTTTTATTTTTTATGTCGGGTTGTCTGCTGGTGTGTTGTGACCCCTCTCCGCCGTACAAGGACGGGATTCGCAGAAAGGACAGCGATACTTGTGTGGAGGGGGGAGGGGGCTCTTGCGTCTCGTATCCGACTTCAGCCAATGAGCTTCAGGCACAAGTTTGCGTCATAATATTAGCGGGAATATTTTACATGCAGCCAGTTACCAAATCATCACCTTGTTACAAGTCACTGAAACAGATTTATAATGCGTTTTTTAATACCGAAAAATCTATTGACGACAAAATGTCTTGTGCATTCAGCCCATTTTCTCCGAAATTGATACTTCCCGATCGATCTGAACGAAATGGAGGCTTTAGGAGTTTCAAAAGTGTATATTTTGATTTTAGTTTTTTTTTCATAAATCAAGCATTCACGTTTATATTCGTCTGCTTGAGTTCGACACATACGGCACTTTTGCGGCGTAGAGTGACGACAAGTAAAACTCTTAAGTTTTGAGTTCGGGTGTCGGAGCGGAAAAAAATGTAGGTAGAAAACACTTTTGCAGGTTTATGTGATAGTATAATATAGTGGAGCAGTTAGAAATAATGTGAGAAAGTATGTACACGACTGGTTTACTTTAGTTGCCGCCAGAGGTTCTGGTAGTCTTTTAGACGTTGAAGAGAAAAGAAACCTTATTAGTCTGAGAAATTGTCTGCTATTTTGTAGCACTACTACGTCATTTCTTGTCCGTAATAGATGATTGTGACCAACAAATATCCGGGGAACGCCGAGTATCTGCGTGAAAGGAGGTGGTGCGCACGTCATCTCTCTCGGCAGGAACTCTGACAGCCAAGTTAAAAACAAACTAGCAGAATGTGTGTCAGAATCCAGCACGTATCATTTTCGATTTGATTCACAACCGATTTGAAGAGTCAAAGCGAAATAATCTTTCTAAAGATGTCGAATTTAATGTATTCTTTGATTGTTAAAAATATTTATTTGCTTGTGTATTTTCTGACGAGGTAATTTGCATTGGATTTTATTAGACTTGCGACAAAACGTGTAAAGTAGTAGGTATGTACGAAATCTAACAATAAACCAAAATATACTATCATGTCAGAACTAACTTCTAATTGACGCGATAAATTTTATACTATTCAGTAAAAATATGCTGAAAAATGTAAAGGCTACAAAAA